AAAAAAAAAAAAAAAAAAACTCCATTCAGACAAGGCATGCGGGTAAAAGACTGATTGCCGTCTAAGGTGCTCGTAGGTAGCGGCCAGTTTAGTCTGCAAAGACCTGAGCGCTTCATGTCATGTGAGCTCTGCCCGAGTTGCACGTTCTGATTACGGACTGGCTGACTGCTGTGAGACTACCAGAAAACTTGAATTAGGTGAGACAAGTGCATTACCGTCAGCCCAAGAGCGCTGTTTTGACGTTGATAAATGACAGGGTGCAGTTTGGATGACAAATGGCTGCCGGTGCCAAAGAGCACACATACGAGTCCGGGCGTCTGCCCACGCTAAATGTGAGAAGTCGCGTAAAATGCTAGGGTGCGAGCTGAAGGAAGGAGTGCAACAGGTTGATGTCTGAAGCATACCTGCTGTCGCAGGATGTCGCAGGCAGTTCGGCCAAGTGGACTCGAGCCCCCAATATTCCAATATCCAATCTGAAGGCGCACGTGTGGCTGGCTTCCTTTTCCTCAGAGTGTGCAGCCTTGCTCTTGCTAGAGTACCTCGCAGCCGTCACATGTCAACAGCGGCACCGCGATCTTTACATGCTGCAGCAGTCGCACTGCTCCAAGTCCTTGACACAGTGCTGAAGTGCCTCCACATGTGCAAGAGTAAACGGAACAATGCCTCAATTCAGCCATTGTCCTTCTACACACGAGTTTCTCCGTCTTGGCATTGGCTTTTGACATGTCAGTCGCGCAATCTGATGTTAGGACGGCATCTCAGCCAAATAATGAAGGCATCAAAATTTGAAATAATGTATGTAAATATTGCCGTGAAACAGGGCTTGCTCAGTGTTGTTGCCATTCGCCATGGTGTCATGTTGGCCTCCAGCTTCCCCCTGTACAGCTTGGATCGATTATAATGACGTGAAAAAGCTTTCCAGCTTGTCTGGTGGCTCCGCGCTGGTGTCGCCATCTGCCATTGCATCCTGTTGACCTTCAGCTCCTCATCGGCACTTATGTTGGTCGATGTCCCACGCGCAGGACGATCTGGCGGCCGAGATGATGTCCATCTCCGCTCTTCACAGCGCCAAGTAGGTGCCGATGAAGCCCTGGTGCCAACGATTGCCGTGCACGCACTAGCAGTCGCAGAAGCTTCTGTTCGCGAAGTTGTCGGGTCGAAATGAGTCTGCAGGATTAGAAAGAGTTCACGACCGCTCACTCCCAGCTCCTGGCTGCTTGAAGGTCAGGCGGTAGCGTTTTGCTGCATGATCAGGTTCCTCCTTGCGATGCAGGCCATGACTCTCTTCATGAAACAGACACAGAGGTCGGATCAAGCCGGATTAAGTCCTCTTTCCCACAGGAAACTGGCCTCTTCTTGTCCTTACATGCGCATCTCAGACTAAGCATGCAAAGCCCAGGCAGCGCCTTTTCCTACCCTCCCACCACTGCATCACAGGCGCATCTGGCTCCAGGTACTGGTTAGCCAGCACCTGCAAAAAAGCCATACAGCGCGTGCCCGGTCTTAACCCCAACATAAGTCTGGCAGGGCTCTGCATTGCTCACATTCTGATAGAGCAAAGGGCACTCCTACCAGTCGCCAGGCCTCACGATCCATCGCCTTTTCACGGAACTGTGCCAGAGCATCTGGGCAGGGGCGTGGATTGATGGAATCTGATGGCAGACTGCGCTGCAGTTGATGTTCAACCCTGAGCTCTGCAGAGGGCTTGGGCAGCAGTGTGGGTCGAAGTGAATCCACAAGCCAATTCGGGTGGTCTAGTGGAACTTTAAGCTTTGAATTTAGGCGAGGCATGACTCTCAATTTGGATCGAATGCACGGCTCAAGGCCAACACAGCACGGCACGCTGGAAGCCATTGTTGCTCTTACCGTTTATCTGCCCACCAGTTCATGCCTGTAGCCTGGTTTGCGAGATACGTGCGTGACACTTGAAGGAGGGCGGCCTGCATAGGTCGCGGAAGTCCTGAGCTGTGCCGGAGACAGCGAAGGCCCAAGGCTCACCAATTTGCCTCTGCTGGCCCTAACCCGCACCCAGTTTGCAGTCAGGCTTCGCCTGCAAATCATCCATGGCCAACTCATCAACTGTCCGAAGCTCTCCATGCTGGACGGTGTCCGAGTTGTAGAGCCAACTCAGAGCCTGCTGACAGAACAGCTGCTGGTTGCAGGCTTGGCAACTTGGCCGAATGAGCACTACCAAATTTCTTCAGCGAAGGGCCTTGCGCAAATGACCCTCGGAGCCAGAATACGACTCCTGGCAATTGAGCGTCTCTGCAGCGTGCCTTTACAGACCTTGATCCACACTGTGCCGCAAACATGCCGTTATCGTCACACCCACGAACTTGTACCCCTGTACAATTTCCAGCCAACGAAAGCTGTCCTTGCAACATCCAATCTTGTGCATGATGTCTTCCACATCTTCTTTCTCAATCGTCTTGAGCCACGGGACGCCTTAGTCATTCTCTAGCTTTCGACACATACAGTCCCCCGAGCCACCCACGCTCAGTCCTCGAGGAAGCTCGTGGCAGTTCCCAAGTTCTTCAGCCGGGCGGCCCATGAGCACCTTCACTCGTGGGTGCGGCTCCTCCAAGGAAATCCATCCACTCACTCCACAATGGTCAGCAGTCCGTGCAGTTGTCTGCTGGATATGCGGCAGTTCCCAAAGGTCTTGTTCTGCTCAAAACTGCATCCCAGCTCTATTGGCTGAGACTACCAAAATACGAACAGAAAACACAGCTCTGTAGGCTGAGGGTTCGCACCAAATTCGCTCTGCACATGGAGTGGCTCTAGTCACAACATCTGGACAGTCGAGGACCATGACCACTTCATGTACACAGGCAGCCGCCGGTGCCAAACATCCTTGCATGGCATGGCAGGGAGTATGCCAGCAGGATGCAACGCTGTCCGTCAATATCCGAAAGAAGGTTTCCAAAACATTGCTGGTCCCACTTTGGGGGTACCTAAATAAGCATGACATCATCTTTGGGTCTCTGTTTGTTCCCTGCAGTTGCAGAAACTCCCGAATTGTCGCTATATCATCCTAGTTTCCATGTCATGTTCCATTTGGTTCTCCATTGTTGCGGTAAGATCTTCATTTGTTGGTAACCCTGAATCCTACATCTAAATTTATATGTGTATATATACACGTACCCTAAACATTCCTACACAACCCTTATGTATCCTCCCTACAGTCCAAACCCCTAAGCTCTAAAACTGGTGCTTAGTATAAGTAGGGGATAACAAGTAGGGGATAACGGAATATAATCCCTATAGAACATGTTCCCTCATTCCCGACTGTAACTCCAATATTTACCCCACTATAGTCGTTTCCACGTTCCTTTGCATTATCCCTTTATCGCCCCTATATTATACCCCTATATACCCCTACATTCCCTGATTCCCTGCTAACCCCCAATGAGCCAAAGGTGCGGCTTGGTGGCTTAGCGGTATGGCGTGTACAGGGACTGCTGGGGCACGCAGCCCTTGCCATCGGAGCAGAAGCCTGGGCTCTTTGGTAAGGTACTTAAGGGTTCGGGGTTGAGGGTTTAGGGTTTAACTTAATTTGAATTACCATAATATAGGGGTTATAGGGGTATAAAGGGTTATATAAGGTTTAGGGTTTAGGAACTTAATACTTATAGATTGTGTATAGGGATAATGGAAATAAAATGGAAGCTACTCTTTGGGGTTTAGGGTTAGGGTTGCCGGCTGTTAAGGAACTTAAATTGAGTTACCAAAATAATTATAGGGGTTGTAAAGGGATAATGGGGAATAAAATCAAGACTACTATGTTTGTTCGGACTTTTTCTCCATGGCATGAAGTATGATTTAGAGTTTAGGGTTGGTGTTCAGGAACTTAGATTAAGTTACCATAGCACCCCCCCCCAATAATGGAGAATCAAATGAAAAATAACATGAAAAATGACATGGAAACTGGTGGAATACAGGGATTTAAGGAACTTACATCAAAGTACCATAATACACATAAATAGGGTTTTAGATTTTAGAGTTCCCATGATTTGGGTATGTATTATGTAATGGGGCTTCCTGATTATAGTAACTTAACTTAAGTTCCTTAACAGTATCCCAGCTAAGGGGGACCGAGGGAGTGAATATGGGAGCTTCCTAACATTAGGGGTATCCACATAATAAAGATTCTGCTTGTTAGAGGGATCCAATCCCTCACTCTCCCTTAAGCACCAGTAGGTCTTTGGGAAGTACTGGCCCCATGTCCGCTCATGCCGGAGGTTCCCACCCCAGAGTTTGGGGTTGCTCGCTTCTCGATGCAGGCTCCCTGAGGTCTTGACCTCCTAATCTTGGCCCCCCGCCCCTCCCCTCATCCAACCCCGATCTGCTAACACGGCCGCAGAGGCCTCCCCACTGCTGCCTGTGCCTGCTCGCGCTAGAGGGTGTATTTACTTGGGGTTGAGAGTTTGTGTGAGGTCCCGTTATGGGTTCAACCCAGCGCCCATTCACATCCTTCAGTCGAAAGCTGATTTGGCCGAGCTTCCAGGCTTGCAGTAGCAGAAGTAGTCCTGCCATCAATTGGAGGTCCGGTTCATCTGGGAGCCTGCCTAACATCCTCCAGGAACGGGGGACCCTGACAACAGCAAACCAGATCTGTCTACGAACTGGTAGATACCAATTCAGGAGACACTGCCGTCTTCCCCCTAAAGAGCCCTCGCGTAGCTCCTTTCCAATCCCTGTTTGACTTGTGCTTATCACTACATGTTCCTACATTGCAGAGTGAACTGTCCTGAGTGTTGCAGGTCGTTGGGCCACGCGACTTTGCGCAGCTGAACACCATGCAGGAAGAATCCTGTGGGCCAGTTCAAACTCAATCGGGACAGAAGAGCACAAGAATCGTCACAAGTAGGAAGAGCAACAACCAGAAAAGAGAAAGAAGAGAAGGTGGTGTGCGCCAAGTCCCCGCATTTGAAAGCTATTTCGAGTCATAAAGTACATCAGAAAAGGCATCCTGGTGTCCTAGAATTGGCACCGTAAACCTTTGCAACTGACTGTCGTGCTCTCAGTACAAGCTCATCGAAGTTTGCGGCCTCCCTTCTAATCGAAGTTTGCGGCCTCCCTTCTAGCATAAAGCATTGCCTTCCCCCAAAACTAACATGGAATCCCATATAGCCCCTTTAATCTTTTTGGGCTTCATGCCAATTCGGGTAGAGTACGCATCAGAAAGTCACAGCACCTGGATCTTGGTGAGGCAGCCTCCAAAGCCTGACCAGGCTTAGGCACTGTAGCGCTGAAAATATGGCACGGTGAAATATAATATGCAAAGTAAGAATTAGAAGTAGTACCAAAATAGTGAAGAATCTGTGAGCAGTCCTTTCTCTAGAAGCACAGTGAGGCCCTGCCTAGGCCAGGGACGGCGTAAGGATTGCCAGCATATGGGCTGTATGGGTTCCAGTACGGGTTGAAGGCCGGCGCAGGGGCTGGCTTCGGTGAGGAGCCCCACTCTTCCTCGGTGGGCTACAAACTGCTACAGGATAGAAAGTGTCATTTGCTCAGAAGCGAAAAAGTTGCACTTGAAGTGAGGCTGTCCATTCTCAGAAACAATGGCTCTTTGAAGTCGGGCTGCCTCGTCTGCCGAGGCCTCTTTCTTGCTCTGCGCTTCTGCCTTTGCTATCGAGACGTCTGGGCACGTTTTCTAGCCTGAAGAGCTGTCATGTACCCTCTGATCTGCATTGCGGCAAGTAAGCGTCCATGAGAGTCCACTGTAAAAAAGTATTAGGTAAGAGGTGTTGATGGAATGAACGGACTTCGGCTTCCTGCCTCAGCGAGTTCCTCCTCGCCCTCCTCCAAAGCAGCCGCAAACTTCTCTACGGAGTCCTGCAGTTGGGTGCAACATTCATGCCTGCCAGTCGTCTAGTCACTTACTTTGGCAGGTCACACAAGCCCGGCCTTTGTTTGCAGCTGTGCCGCCACTGCCTTCTGCTGCAAAGCGTTGAGGGCGCATTCCTGGCACAGCTTGCTGCAATTGCTAGCAAGTTGTTAAGCCGCGTAGCTTAGCGGTGCATGGCATCAGGAACTCGGCCTCGCCCTGGGCACATTCAGCATCGGTAGCGAGCGCATTCTCCACATCCATAGACAGAACAGTGGAGACTGCCTCAGAACCCCGACAGTGCAGGTTAGTGAGACACAGTTAGTCACTGCATGCTAGCTGCAGCCGCCAAGAAAGCAAAACCCAGGACCTTCGCCATGAGTCCTAAGTCGGGCAGGATTTCTCAGGGCACCCGCATGCCCCACTTGCCTATCCCATCCAGAAAACTTCAGACCAAACTTCAGACAAGAATCTGAAGCTGAGCGCTTTCAATGGCTAAGAGATACAGAACTGATAGGCTTAATGCTGCGGCGAGCAACATGCAACTGAAGGCTGAGACGATTGACGGCAAACATGGCAAGACTACCAGCCCTATGAAGTCTCCTGAAGGTCGTCGTCGGACAAGCGCTGAAACTGGGAAGCCTTCCTCTTGCAGATGGTGACCAGCTTTGCCTTCAGCTTTTTCAGATCTCCCACCTTCTCCAGCAGTTGGGCAAACAAAGCGCGGGCCCGCTTTTCAAAGAGGCTCCCAGGTTGCCCTCTTCGAGCAGCAGCGACCAAGCACCAATGTCCCAGAGGTTGTTTGCTCCAATCTGGCAGGGATGCCACAAAGATGTACACTCGAACCAGCCGCTCCTTCCAGGGAAGCGCTTGGTGACCAAGCATTCGACTAGCCCGCCCGCAGGTTTGCACCAACGAGGTTGGTGTTGGAGGCACATCAAGCAGAAACAACTGCCGGACCGTTCGAAAGGAGACACCCTCTCCGCACTGATTGCTGTCCGCAACCATGCACAAGATCTTCTCGCCTCGCAAATTTTCTGTGGAGTTGAACTCTGCCAAGCTTTCCGTGGAAGCTACCTGAAAGGGAGGGGAAGCCTCGGATGCAACCTGACGCAGAACATCGACGGCCGCTCGATAGCCGCTACCTCTAGAAACGAAGACCAACGACTTCTGCCGGTTTTTGGCGATCATCTGTGCCAGCTTCCAGAATTTTGGCGCGCAGCGCTGCGGATGTTTGAGGACAAAACTCTTGCAACCATGGCGACCATCATGATAAGCGCCAGAATACACATGAAGGTTGCAGTAGACTTGGAGTCGCTTACGGCTGTAAAGTTCACTGCAGCTTCGTAGAATGTACGACTGCAGTGCCTCATTTCGCAGAGCAACTTTGCAGCAAATCTGCTTCCTTGCAGGGGACACGAGCTCAGCATTGTCAACCCCAGCCGGGATGCAGCGGGGAAACAGTGCTGCTGGCTTGCAGCTCAACGAGCTTAGGAAGCCCTCATCAGAGGCTTCCTGAGCAGCTGAGCCTTTAATAATATCGAGCAATCTGCGACCCTCCACGGGACCAATCAGCAGTGGCGTGCCAGTAAATCCAACCAGAACGGATTCCTTTGCTTTTGACAGGCGTTCCCGAAGGACCGCCAGCTGCTCGGAGTACTGCGAATCAGTGCGGACGAGGTGGTGTACCTCGTCCATGAGGATCACCTTCCTGTCGTAGACGTTAGTCGACGGATGTGGGTGCCCCACCTTGCAGAGACTAAGTCTCCAGGCAAGAAGGAGAGGTAGTCAGAGCATGTCAGGGCCCCTGTGGCTTTAAGTTCCACATCAAGTCACGGGGAAAGACCAGGCTATCAAATTCATGATCGTGCAGGCAACTTCAAGGACGTACGCTCTTTGCCAATGACAGCAAAGCATAGTATTCTTAAAGGGGTTTGTAGAAAGCTCCTGGATTGGGAGCCCGTGCAGCATGAACATAATATTTGAAGGGATACGGAGGATCCAATTCGAAATCCCCACATGGCTAAAGCTGAGATGGCACAGGGTTGAATGTGAGGGCTTGAACAAGTGCCAGATGGGCGTCACCTTCAAGAAGGAGGACGCGGGCCATCCACGGTCGTCGAGCCTGCGCAGAGCATCTGCGGTTGTTATATGCATGTTTCTTGACAACTGTCCTCTCTATCAACTGCATCTTTTTGATCCATGCCCCCAGGAGCGCCAAGCCACGCTCCGGAGATTCACAGATTCTCTGCTTGGGATTGTGGGCCATGTCGGCCTGGGCAGCCTCTGTGCGAAACACGCTACACACAGCTCAGCCTTACACAAGGACCTCAGCATCTGAAACAGGTGAAACATCCATCAACCACAGTGACATGACCCCAGTGTGAGCACGGGAAGCATTGTAAACTGCTCGAGTGCGGAGGGGATGATTTCTCTGGAAGCGAGGCGCCTCACCGCCAGCCCATGAACATGGGCGTAGACCAACAAGATAGCCATTTTCATTCCCTGGTTCAGTGCCATTCCCATACATCACACCACCCTTGTTGTCTGAGCTCGCAAAGACTGAGCAAAGGGTTTTGTTTGTAATATCATCGAAGAGTTCGATGGACAAGCCGGCCACATGGAGATGCGGAGCGGCAAAGACAAGGTCAACGAGTTCATCTGCCCTGTGCTTGTCATGGGGTGACTTCGGGTGCCTGTGGTAGTATCCCACAGGCTGCACCGTCTCAACCGTGTGCAAGCACTTCTCAGGTGGAGTGCCAGATGGACAGACTGGAACATCATACTCGATGTTTTCAACGCCCTGGGTTGTGGAAGTTACGTCGCAGCATGCAGCCATCTCCATCTTGCGTGTCTCCGGATAGTGGTCTTCGTAGTAGAAAGTGTACTTCATGAAGATCTCATCCTTTGGCTCTTCAGAGCACTGCGGATCACTGCACTCTTTGTCTGTGTCGATGACGAACACGCCATGTTCACAGCAGCGCCAACCGCCAACGTAGGTAGCAAGGTTGCAGGAAGGATTTCCAGTAGCTGCAAACTCCTTGCTGCACCTTGGAAACTGACTTGCCCTTCTGTCATCTCTCATCTCTTGTGCTGCCGCCTGAAACTTTACAAAGCTACATCCCGACCGTCAGCTCCAACTGGCCAAAGGGCGACTTACTTACAACCCGACGCCTTGGTCGTGCCAAAAAAATAAAAGCATGCTTATGTTGTTCGGCCACTGGATGGGAGGGTCTGGATCCTCTCCATCGATCTTGCCGTGCTTGACGTCGATCTTGCGCTGCGGCGTGCAAGGGCATTCCAGCAGTGGGGAGTAAGGCACAGAGGTGTTCTTCAATGGTCTGTTCGTGTTGATCACATGAAAAATTGGTGCCCAAAGGTGCGGCTTGCTGATGATCCTGCGGAAGGGTGCCTGATACCTCTGCAGGTTATGTCGATACTCCGCACCAGACGCACTTCCGAAGTACACAATGTCAGGGTCGTCACCCAGGCTCGTAAGGAAGGAGTGCACATGCGATCTTGTCATGGCGTGGCAGCCAGTCAGCATTCTTGCAAACATTTTGTCTTTGGCAGCTTGCTGGAAAATCTTCTGCATGGTGCTATTGTCGCCCATTGCAAGGATGTAGTGGTGCAGGTAATGGTCACTCAGCTTGACCTTGGACTCAACACCATTCTTTTCCTTTCGGATCATCTCGACATCGAAGCCTGAGAGGGCCATGGCCTTTCCCTGATCAAAATACTTGTCCACGATGTGCTGGGGCAGGACCATAGGATCCTGCTGTGTGTTGTACACTTCACCATATCGCAGACGAATTGGGGCCGAGTAAACCGTGAAACTTTGCGGCACATCGGGCTCCGCCCTGGCCAGGACGGCTGCCAACCACAGCGTCCCCCACATGCGCGACATGGCTGAGCTACCTACACCTACAAGAATAGGCTAGAACCAGAACGGGGTCCATCCCGCGCTGAGCAACAGCCGTTGCCACATGCCATCACATGCCAGCCTTTCATACAGACAAGACATTATGCCTGCCATCTGTGCCCGGCCTGGCATGACCTCCACCAGCACTGGCGAAGCTCAAAGCTCGCAAAGGTGCTCCTATAGGACGAAGTCAGAAGGAAATCAGGAAATCGTCAAGAGGAGCAGCGAGTCTTCAAGCTGAAGCGAGCAAAGCCTGGAAAGTACTCCCCCGGATGCTTGTTAACAAAAGCTTCCTTGATTCCAGAGCGCCTCAGGCTCCATAGCCATCTTGCTACTTGTATGATATGGCATGCCGTGCTGAGTGCATGCTAGGCGCAAGCGTCCATCGAAGCAAGCTCCCCTGCAATGCAAGAGCACGTACTGTATGAACAGAGTGGCTAAGCCTACAACTTCAATGTGAGGTCAGGAGACTGGCCAGCGGGATGTCCCAACAGGCAACGATGCAAGGAGGAAGAGGAGACTGGAGTAGGTCCAATATGAAGGGTGGGTCAGAAATCTGAGCAATGGACCTCAAACCGCCAACCCTGGTCCATTGGACCTTGAGCTATTTCAAAATAGCAGTTTCCATTTGATTTTCCATTATCCCCATATAACCCCTACATAATCCCTATAACCCCTACATAACTAACCCCTAAACCGTAAACCCCCTACATAATCCCTATATAACCCCCTTTTTGAGCCCTGAGTCCTGAGGGCCTCATCTCAAGGACCTCGCGGCAGGATTGCGCCAGCGCCCGTATCCTGGCCTCTGGAAGTCGGCCCTGGCAAGACAAAATCCTTTTTGATAGCGCAAAACAGGGCGAAGCCCTATCCGATTACTTCAAGCAACACACTCCCTGCACAACCGTCCCCTACGCTGCACAAAAGAGGAGATCGTCTGCGCAGCTCTACAATGGGAGCATCGCAAGGTGTGCCCATGCACGGTAACGCAAGACAAAATCCACAGAACTCCATGTAGGGGTTATATAAAAGGGTTATATAGGGATTATATAGGGGTTAATTATATTGGGGTTATGTAGGGGTTGTATAGGGGTTATAGAAGGTTATAAAGGGGTTATATCGGGGTGATATTGGGATAATGGCAAATTAAAAGGAAACTGCGATTTAGGGTTTAGGATTGTGCATTCCCAAACAACGCTGCGGGCACCCTTCCTGTGTAACGCATAAGCGAAGCCAGGCATGCTACGTTCCATCGGCTGTGACGCCTTGACTGCCAGACTGGTGTCCCGGACGCAAGCAAAGCCCCACCTGCAATGCCAGCAGTGAGCTCGCAGGCTGAAGTAAGTTTGAAATTTGAAACCCGCCTGGGCAGATGTTGCAGTAATAGTCTCGGTAGCTGGAAGGCCATGACAGCAGTTCGGTGTAGAAGTTCCTGCACAGAATCTTGCCAGCGGTATTGTGCTTTTGCGCACTGAAGTAGCGGCTGGCCTGCACACGGCCTGCGTGGGAAAAATTGGAACCTTTGGTCGGCTGTCGTGGAAGTAGCCATTCAGAACCTTGGACGTGCTCAAAAGCCAGCACAGGTCCCTCAGAATCAGCGAATGCCGACAAGATGCGCAAATCATCTCTCGAGTCTTTCCTGATCCTGTCGGGTGATCCACCAGCAGCCTCAAAGGCACCAACCAACACGGCAACTACTTCACTCTTTTCCTCAGACCACATCGCCACCTCTGGATTGGAGAGCTTGGGTGGAGAAGAAAAGCCACCGCGGCCTCAGTTAGCAACTTGCCAAATTCTTTTTGAATTGAAGGCTCTGCACAATACACATGCAAGACAAGCTGAGATCTGACCTGGTGAGGCTGCAGTGGCGGGCAACCAGAGTCAAGTCCTGGCAGCTTATCCTACACCGCTCGTGCCTGACTCTCTCCCAGCCAGCCAATCCACGAACAACTTGAGAGAAGGAACCCAAAGTTAACTCCGTCATTAAAAGGGTCCAGTACCCTCTAAACATGTCTTCCCGAAACCCTAATCTACTCTGGTAATCTTTGGCTAGGTATAACCCCCACACAAAAGTATGAGCTAAATTCAATTCTGCCGCATTAGGCTGGGCGGCAGGGGGTAGCTGCAGTGAACACGATAAGTTTTACAAAAGTATTTAGAGTTCAGGGTGCAGGGTTTAGAGCATCCCAACCCTGAAGTGTGGTTGTCCAGCACTTGGGGTTCTTGACCTTGCTCAGCCAATCTCCCGGGATGTAAGAATTCAAGTTGTCGTCCCTTACAAAGGTTATGAGGCCTACATAGGGTCCGCTTAAATTAAAGGGGTTAGTAGTCCTTTGAGGGTGTTGTAGGGCCTACATAGGGTTTTGAGGGAAAAGCACTATGTAGGGTCCTTTAAATAGGTACGGCCTCCCTTTAAAGGCTTTATGAGGGGTCTGCAGGGTCCTTTAGTGCAGCTTCAACGTGTTGAGTCAAGAGCAGTCTACATGCATGTACTTGCTCGTAAAGGAACCAAGTACACTGTGCCCAAAAAACAAGTACGCCGTCAGGCATATCGTACCGTAATAGCCATGTTAGTGGTGTTTTGGGGGTATGAACGAAAAGCTATGTTAATCGTCTTTGGCCGAACTAGGCTCCCGAATGAGGGAAAACCAGCTTTCAGAATCCATGTTAGTGGCATATTTGAACAAAAGGCTAAAACTCAGCAATAGCTATGTTAGGTGTGTTTTCGGCATTTGGGAGCGTCTTTCTGGTGAATAATTCTAAATTGCATCATTTCAGTATCCATGTTAATGGTTCATTTGTTGAACCGCCCGAAATGCAACAATAGCTATGTTAAATGTTTCCTCCGAAACACCCCGTGACTTCCCTTGCTTGCAGGTGAGAGCAACTGTCATTGAGTCTGCTGTTGTGTTTGCAGGGTCTATGTTAATGGAAGCAACCTTTAGGGTTCAGGGTAGAAAAGGCCCAGCTCTAAGGCAATCGCAGGAGCAGAGTTGCCATGTAGGGGATTTCATATAAGCCTTACCACATATATAGTTCCAATGCTAACTTAATACCGGTTATATGCCCCTTATGTAAGCTGTACAGCAAGCTGTCCCCTTCTGGAAACTCCGCTCCTGAAGTTGGTCCGAAACAGCAGAGCTTCCATCGTCATTGGAGGCGAGAAGTTGAAACAGGCTTCGTGTGTCAGTGCTAGAGTCAAGCACGCTGAATTTTTCGGCATGCGCAAAGGGTGCAGCCACCTGCTGGCAGGGTACATGTGAAGCGCTTTTTGGCCATGTGAACGGACAAAACCAATTTCGGATTCCATTCTCTCTGGATTCTCATTACTCAAAGCTGTTCGGTCCAAAATGCTGCAGATTCCATTTAACGAGCAGCCCTCTATGTTAACGAAAACAAGGTTTCAGATGCCATGTTAGTGGTCAGGAGGGAGCCAAAACAGGTTTCAGATGCCATGTTAGTGGACCAGTGGTCCAACTCTTGTAGAACAACATAGTACATTCACTGCAGAGAGTTCTTAGCGTGTGGCAGGCTCCCGGAGTCCTTGAAATTGGTTGTTTGTACGATCGGGACGAATTTTGGGTTTGCATATGGGACGGCAGAGACTCAGAGAGAATATTTTTGCATCGTTGTGCAGTAGCGCTGGGGCGCTATGGCACGCCGCGTGCGCTTGCGGCACAAAGAAAGGTCGCCGCAGGGGCAAGGATTGGTGACACTGGCCGACGGTCAACTCGCGATATCCGGCTACTCGTCCAAAAGGCTCTTGCTTCACATGTGCGAGTTTTTAGTGTGCCCTCTCTAAACTTGTCACACAATGAGTGAGGATGGCCTACCGCCCGACAACGAGAGCCTCTACCCGAGAGAGGCATGACCTTGGTGCAGGCTGCCGCACGATGGCCGCTGTTGTCTGTGGAGACAGCAAAGCAGTTTGCCGCGGAGACTGGCCCAGCGCTCCTACTCTCAGACTTGGATCTTGCGGTGACCACAAACTTTTCCGGGCTACTGAGCTTAACAGGATTCCGTGTTAACGTAGCATGCCAGGTGGCTGTTAAGGCACCAGGGCCAATCCTAACCGACGTTTTCTCAAAGGCCCTCCCCAGGCTTGACCCCTCCCGCCTTGATCTGTTGCCTATATTTGGGGCCTAAATTCCTTCGCTCCCCGCGGCGACCAAAGGCTAGATGCTGCCGGGCGAGCACTGCAGATCATCCAGCAGCACCTCAACGTGAAGTTCGCTCACAAGTCCGTGTGCGATGTGAATGCAGGTGTCCTCCAGGGCCTGTTGCAAGATTCCGCTTTCAAGAATTGTTGTGTTTACAAGGATGCCCCTCTGTCTTGAGAGTGAGCTCAGCTCTGCTTACTTTTGCTGTGGGTGTTTGGGTGCGATGGGTTGTTGGGGTGTAGGGGATGTAGGCTGCCTTCAGATGGCTTAGGTTCTGTCACAGCTGGACTCCAAGACGCGTGACGCGGTTCGCGGAGCCAGTGGTGTGGACGAGATCAAGGCAGCGTTGGAAGAGCCAGAGTTCTTGCCTCGTGGCCACTGCTTGCGTCACAGAAGAGAGGGCGGGTGCGAGTACCTGATGGAAGCCGATTTGGCCGCTTTGCACGTGCAAAACATCATTCCCAGGGTCCACGTTAGTGTACCATAAGTGGTTTCAGATTCCATGTTAGCATCCATCCCGTTGATGAGGACATATCGGGCCCCAGCTGCAAGGATGACAGTTTGATCGGCCAGCGCCAGCAGGATAACGGTGAAGGGCGCAAGTCCCTGCTGTGCTATCTGAAGGGGCACATTGAAAGAGGCACGGGCATCTTGCTAATGGAAAATGTGTGCGCTGGCACTGCCCACCGCACAGCTGCCGACTTCATGATTGGTACTGGGAAGTACTGGACTAAGCCTTTGCATTGCGACACGCCGGACAGTGGCTACGCAGGTATCCGCAGGCAGAGGGGATGGCCACTTTGTGCGGATTAGCAACACATTTAT